AGGTGAGCCCTGTAGGTCATCTGGATGAGCAATGCAGCATCTTGTGGGGAGAGCTCCTTCCTCTTTCCCTTGCCGTTGCCCTTAGCAAATGCCTTCACTCATCAGAGAGGAAAAAAAATGCAGGTCAGTACAAGAAGCCAGGAATGCGGATCCAGAACGGTAGAACATCACCAAACTCTTCTAAAACCATAACAAGCGTCTATGGATCTCTTAATCCTGCTAAAAATCTAACCTTTTCTTCAGATCAAAATAAATAAATAAAAAGTAAACCTTTCTTGGCCCCAACCACCGTCCAAAACCCCTGTGAGGAGCAAAAACCCACCCAATCACCAGTGAGGGAGAATGACGAATGCAGAAGAAAAGGTCTGACCTTTTTGATGGCGACGCATCCAGCATCATTGTCATAGGAGATCTCCTCGATCTTGACGGTGGCGAAGGGGCATTTCGTCTCCTTCTTGACGGCCTTCACCTCCTCCTTCTTCTCCTTCTTCACGGTGGCCTTCTTGGTCTTGTTCTTGTTCTTGTCGGCCGCGCGCTCCTCCTCTTCGTCGTCGCTGTCGCTGGCGGTGAAGTCCTCCTCCCAGGTGTAGGCCTGGGACCAGGGCTCGAGACATCCCTTGCCCTTGACCGCGGCGCCCCACTTGAGCTTCCTGGCACCGGCGCCACCGGCGGCGGAGGATCCTCCCTTGGCCTCCCATTTCCACTTGCGGTCGAAGCCGTCGTCGTCGGGGGACTTGATCTCGGCCTCCCACCTGAGCGTCCGCTCCCCGGCGCGCAGCTTCTCGACGGAGGTCCACTTGACCTTGCGGCCGCCGGCCTCGGTGACGTAGGTGCGCTTCCGGGTGGCGGGGGCTCAGGGCGGCGGCGCGCGGTGGCGATGGCGAGCTCGAGCGCGGCGACGCGGTCGGTGAGGTCGCGGAGGAGGAGCGGGGTGTAGGGGACGGGGTCAGGGGAAGGCGAAGAAGGGGTCGAGCGCCGGCGCCGGGGGCAGGAGGAGGTCGTCCAGGTCAGGGAATGGGGAGGCGGTGGGGAACGGCGACAGGTGGTCCAGGTCAAGGAGGAACGGGCAGGAGGAGGAGGAAGGTGGCGGCGGTGGGAAGGGGAAGAAGGGTCGTCGAGGAGGCGGAGGAAGTGGCGGTGGGAAGCCATGCCGAGAGCGACGGCGACGGCGACGGAGACGGGTGGGGCCCGTGGGGGCAGAGCAGATGGCTCGGGAGCTGGGAGTGAAGTGGGAGGACCGGAGGAGTGGACTGATCGGCAGCCTGGGAAGGAAGGAATGCAGAGGCGACTCGACGGCGATGGGGGCCCGGCCCGGCCGGCGGATGGGTGTGTGCGCTGCACGTGACGTGACGCGGCAGCCGGCAGCAGGATCCAGAGGGGAGGAACAGCTCAGTGCTCACTGTGTGACAGAAGAGTGCGGCTCCACCTCCACGCGGCCACGCCACTCCAGTTTTGGTTTTGGACCCCACATCCCACGGTTTTGGACGAATCCCGGCGACCGGCCCACGGCCTCGCCCTCACGCCACGCTCGGCTGAAAACCGACGGGCAACGGTTGCCCTGTTTCATGAAATTGAGGCCGCGTTTAGTTCGCTGCCGGATTCGGCGCCGCCGGTTTTCCGGACGCTGTAGCTGCATTGTAATGTTTTGTTTTTATCTGGTAATAATTGTTTAATCGTTGACTAATTAGGCTTAAAATGTTCGTCTCGTAAAGTACAACCAAACTGTGCAATTAGTTTTTGATTTCGTCAACATTTAGTACTCTATGTATGTATCGCAAGTTTGATGTGACAGAAATCTTCTTTTTATATAGTGTCAAATTCTGGAATTTGGGGCAATTAAACATGGCCTGAGCCGCATTTCGCACGGCTCCCGGTTCGCCGCGTTGATTTTCATGAGCAAAGTTAAAAGTTGATGACTAAAATTTTAGATCATTTTAATTTATTTGTGTGGCCTATAGTTTTATTTTAGACAACACTTTAGATATCTAGAGCCTTATGAGCTAAATGGTTTAAATTTTAGCCACTAAACTTTAGACCATGCGATCCAAATAGAACGTAAGCTTAGAGCCGATAGGACTCAAGGGATTTTATTGGCTTCTAATTTATTTTATTCTATTATTTTAAATAAAATAGGGAAAAAATATTTTACCCATAAATTGGAATGGGAAGAGACTTAGACTATAGCTCTATCAAAAGGGGTTAAAACGTTTGGCTGCCAGCCACAGGCTGCCACATGCAGCTGTTGTTACGCCTAAGCTACGACCCCCAAAAATCTGACGCCACAGCTGTGATGGAGTTTTATGTTGCAAAGAGTTGCATATGTTCAACTTAAATCATCAACTAAATAGCGGTGTGGAAGCTTTGCATGTAGCGTCGCGTCTGATGGCCGATGACCAAACACGCTCTAACTATTGCCTGACGACCAAACACGCTCTGACTGCTACTAGTGCCATGTCACTATATATATGAGCATATCCTCAGTCCGTTGTAAAACAAATTAGTGTAGATCCAACCTAAAATCAATCAGATCGATCAACCATTCTTCGTGTCGGATTTAGGGCTTGTTTAATTGATTCCTAACAAGCTTGCAACGACATAGCATAGAATTTGTGAGACATGCGCTAGAGTTTTGTTAGAAATACTACCACGCGTCCTAATGAGGATGTAATTCTAATTTTGTATTTAGTTAGACTATCTATGGTTTAAAGAAATTTATAGAGAAGGTGTGTTAATATTCATAGCACCATATAGATATATTATGAAAATATATTAAAAGACAAATAAACCACACTTATTTGATGCCCTAAACATTGATATTTTTTTTATAAATTTGGTTAAACATAAAATGATTCGGCTATGTGCTATGCTAAAATTACATTCTTTTTCTAGACGACGGTAACACATCTGCAAAAGTGCACCAACGATGTCTATATGAGTGCTGCATGCCAAAGGTTGCATTAGATCATACCATGGATCTAAGCAAGAGCAGTACAATAGACTTAAACAATTGACTCATTTTTTTTAGCATAGCATGCTGACTTTTGCACGTCGTTCAAATACGTCTGACGTCTATATCATGGTTCTTTTTGAAAAGTTACAAATTACACCCATTTTCTATGTTTTGGACTATGTCCATATAATTCCTGCAATCTGTTTTGTTCAATTTATTTACTCCCAACTATTTCTGCTAGTTCGGTTTACCCCTTAACAGACAAGTTGTGTTTTAATTTCAATTCTTGTGAGATGATAGAGACATCATATTTTGTGTTAAAAGATACATCATGAGATTTTAATCATTATGTGTCATAAATTTATATCTAGTGTTAATTTATTATTATATTCCCTAAGAACATACTCCTACCATAATAACGATGGGAAAAAAGTTAAGATGTATCTTTTAACATAAAGTATGATATGTACCACCTCACAATTAAAATTAACTCACACTTTATATGCGGCAAAAAAATACTTGTATAAAAAGTAAATTAGACCAATAGGGGAGTAAATTGAACGAAGCAGTTACTAGGTTTTCTAGACATATACCAATTAAGGGGAGTAATTTGAACTTTTATTTTTTTCCTAGGCACAGTACGTTTTATTTATTTCTTATTACTCCCTTCATCTTTATATAAATCAATTCCTAGAATTGTTTAAAATGAGCCTTTTTATGTTTGATAAAATTTATAGAAAAGAGTATCATAAATCTTAGCACTCCTTTTGTATAGAATTGATCGAATTTAAAAAATTCCGACTTAAGATAACTCTAAAATTGATTTACTTAGAGTCAGTACTTAAATCTTGATAGACTTGATGTTGAGTGTTGCCATCGGTCCGTGGCGCCAGTTTCAACAACCTATTTCTCGTTTCTTAGTCCGTTACATCTTGTTACATGTTAATCGACTAACATACATACATAGTTTGGTCTATATTCATTAGTTTTGTCAAACTTTAGACCAAACTTGAGGAAGTAATTGTTCCGTGCCGCCTTCTTTACGACGGAAATACGTTTTCTACGGACAGAAGCGACCTCTTTGCTGTATATATGTAAAGCAACCTTAGAGGACTACAGACAGGTGGGTCCAACTTGCAGTCCCACGGGACATCCCCCTCTCCTTCTCGCGCGCGACGGCCCCGGAGCCGCCGAGCAGGCCTCATTAAACCCTAGAGCTCCCGGTCGCCGCCGCCACCGCATACGCCGTCGCCATGGATACTCTCAAGCGCAAGGCCCAGGACGGCCCCGGAGCCGCCGAGCAGGCCTCTCTCTCTGAAAGCGCCGCGCGCCGCCGTCCCCACCTCGGAGCCTCCCGCTCCCACCACCCTCGCGGCCGCGGAACCAGTCGCCTGCGTGCACGACGTCTCCTACCCCGACGGCTACGACGCGTCCGCCTCTACGTCCCGCGCCATTGCCGGCGGCGCTGACGCCTCTGAGCCAGCAAAGAAGTTCCCCTTCCAGCTCGACCCCTTCCAGTCCGAGGCCATACGCTGCCTCGACAATGGCGAATCCGTCATGGTACCATATCGGCTCCAATTTTTTTCTTCTCTCGGTGCACTTCGTTTGGCCACCCAGCTCGGTGCATGTGTCAAATTAGTAGTATCTTTTTTAGTTCAACTCAAATGACCCCTCGGGATTGGATTAGGTAGCAACCTCCTCAAATTAGGTCCACTAAAGGAAGGCTACCATTTTAGCTTCTCAGGTTTAACTTTTTTAAATACCTATCATTACTACTGCGTAAAAACGTGCCTCTCATTGGGCTTTTATTGATCCGTCTATTGCTGATGGCTAATTAGCATCCATGGTTGCTGAATGCCGATAGCAAATTCTGTAATTCACAGTTCCCCCTATTGTATGAGCTGTATGGTATCAGACCAACTATTTTCTTGCTAAACAATCATGCTTTGTGCTTCTGTATATACGGTCAAACCAGTTCTCCTTTCATCAGCTAAGTTGTTTGTCACTTATAAAAAAAATCTTTCTCTACTTCCCTTTCGGGGATTCCCAGGTCTCAGCTCATACGTCAGCCGGAAAGACAGTGGTCGCGTTGTATGCAATAGCAATGTCTTTGCGCAACCAACAGCGGGTCATCTATACATCTCCAATCAAGGCACTGAGCAACCAAAAGTACAGGGAGTTCAAAGAAGAGTTCTCTGATGTTGGTCTCATGACTGGGGATGTCACGATTGAGCCGAATGCCTCTTGTCTGGTGTTACCTCCTGTCCTCACTAGTCTTTCAATCACTTGTATATTTATGCTTGGCACTTAAAAGCATACCCTGACATTGCAGGTCATGACCACAGAAATTTGGCGGAGCATGCAATACAAGGGATCTGAGGTCATGAGGGAAGTTGCTTGGATTATATTTGATGAGGTGCATTACATGCGGGATAGAGAGAGAGGAGTGGTTTGGGAGGAGAGTATAGTGATGGCTCCCAAGAACTCACGCTTTGTCTTCCTCTCAGCAACTGTACCCAATGCCAAGGAGTTTGCTGATTGGGTAGCTAAGGTCTGTTCCCAAGGTTGCCTATTTGTCTCCATGTTTCTATTGCCATGGTTTTGGCTTTGAACTCATGTACTTGTTACAAGGCGTCTATAGACATGGTCAAGCATCCACATATGCTTTAAGAACATATGCCATTTTGTTAATAATGGAGGCTGTTCTATTTTTCAGGTACATAAGCAACCCTGTCATATAGTTTACACCGACTATAGACCTACGCCTCTTCAGCACTATGTATTTCCTTCTGGAGGGGATGGATTATACCTTGTAGTGGATGAGAAGGGCAAGTTCAGAGAGGACAGTTTTCAGAAAGCATTGAATGCCCTTGTCCCTGCTAGTGACAGTGCCAAGAAGAAGGAAAATGGGAAGTGGCAGAAAGTTATCATGGCAGGGAAATCTAGTGAGGAAAGCGACATATTCAAGATGGTGAAAATGATAATTCAGCGCCAATATGATCCTGTAATACTTTTCAGCTTTAGCAAAAGGGAATGTGAATTTCTTGCTATGCAGGTATGCTCTTTTGTAGATTATTATTAGTCAATTTAGTGAACTGGAAAATTCGGTGGTCTGTAGGAAAAAGAAATTGAGTTAATTCAGTTGATTTTGACTATCTTTCATTGTGTGATAGATGGCTAAGATGGACTTGAATGAGGATGACGAGAAGGCAAACATCGAAACAATTTTTTGGAGTGCTATGGATATGCTTTCTGATGATGATAAAAAGCTTCCTCAGGCAAGTTCTCATTTGTGTATCAGTTTCTGATCTCAAGCAACTAACACAATGGAATTTAACACTGTAGACATTACTGTGAGATTACAGTTTTATGTTTTTTAAGCTATCTACAGCGGTATACATTTCTATTTGTAATATACGAACCAGTAGCAGTACTGGTAGGCAATGCTATGGGTTGATAATTTATCTTAAAACTGAGCCAGGAGCTTTTCGATCACGGGTTTCAAACATGCTCCCCTTACTGAAACGCGGCATTGGCGTGCATCATTCTGGTCTGTTGCCAATTTTAAAGGAAGTCATTGAGATACTCTTCCAGGAGGGCCTCATTAAGGTTAGCACATTTTATGAATCTCATGATGCCTCAAGTTCCTGTTATTTCTTAGCCTCATAAGTAGCTTATTGCTAGTGGTATTTGAACACTCATACAGAACTTTTTATTTGGAGCAATGATAGTAAGACATAGATGTTCATAACTTATATACATTTTGCACTTTACATCAAGAAAGAATTTCGTGCATCAAAAGGTTAGGCTGTATTTCTTGATTCCTAGTATAGAGTAGATTCTGCTTGTTGCTACTGTATTTTAGTTCCATATGAAGAGACCAATTCGATGTGAAACATGAAATGGATAGATCAGATTTTAGGTGATTCTAGGCTTCTATGTTCAATTGCACTTCAAATTTAAATAGAGAGTGTGGGAGGGAGGGCACGAGGTCTGAAATAACAGATTTAATAAACTATTTTATTTAGTTATTTTTAGATAAGAGTGGTTCTCATCTCTGACTAATGTCATGGACTGTCTTTATACCTTGAGAAATGCGTTCACATGTTCTATTATACATATTCTCCCTAATGATGCTGCGCTTCCACTGAGCATTTTATATATGCTTTCTTTCTATCTTTCTTAAGACTATGCTGTGTGTTGTGCCTTTTTATTTCTTGCTGAGATTAAAACATGGTGTTATAGTGTTTGTTTGCCACAGAAACATTCAGTATTGGTTTGAACATGCCTGCAAAGACTGTTGTGTTTACCAATGTGCGAAAATTTGATGGAGACCGATTCAGATGGTTGTCGAGTGGAGAGTACATCCAAATGAGTGGCCGTGCTGGTCGTCGAGGTATTGATCAGCGTGGTATCTGTATACTGATGGTGGATGAGAAAATGGAACCTTCAACTGCCAAAATGATGCTGAAAGGAAGTGCTGATAGTTTGAACAGGTCAGTATCATGGCATCCTGGCTTTTCTGGCACATTTAGAACAAAGAAGCTTTAACAACTTAATCCAGTTTGGTTGAGTGGTATGCATGAAAGAAATCCGGAACACAAGATTAGGACTGAGATGGACAAATCCTCCCAGTGCGATAATGTTCTTGGTTAACATTGTTCTTATATTCTGCAGATAATGCTAGTCATTTGTGTTATGCCTGTTCCTTGCACCCTTAAAATATTGAGTTAGCATACCAATGGTCAAATTCAGATCTGCCCTCTGTTTCATTCTTTTGCATCAATATGTTTATTGTCGCTTTTATGTGTGGAATTATGTTTTGTTCTGCATGCGCTCACACAACTACCTTTCTGTTTGTTAGTGCCTTTCATCTGAGCTACAACATGCTGTTAAATCAAATGCGATCTGAGGATGGGGATCCAGAAAAGCTCCTCCGGCATTCATTTTATCAATTTCAGGCTGATCGTTCTCTCCCTGATCTTGAGGTATTTACTTTTCTTTGAAATGGAGAATTTTACTTATGCTCCTAAGTGTTTTTCGTGGTCATCTGACATAGATTACACCTTTATCCTTGACAGCTATGAACCACATAATTCATCCATTCATTAACTCGTTGCCCATTGAAACTTATAATATTACACTGTTTTCCTGTACCTGCTCCACAGTTCACACTTCATATGTTTCTGCGAACTTATTTTAATGGGCCCTTTAGGTTGTAGTTTAGCGAGTGTCTTAAGGGAATAATCACTTGGGCAGTAAAGTTGATTGTTATACTTTGTATAAAGGCCAAAAACAGGCCATCCTTTCTCCAAAGTTTAAAATATTCCTTCCCACCCCACTGTGGTTTAGTTTTTCCCTATGTATGATGTTTCGTGTTAAAAAAAAGAACATTATTTGATACATTCCAGAGTGCTTCAGAGATGCACCTATGCACTAAGATCACTTTTGGACCATTACAAGCCAGATTAATAATTTGTGCTGGTAGCCTGATAGACTGAATGTTGGCACCTATATTATTGCCTTTTGGTCACCATAGGGACTTTTATTAAAAACACACACACAGAAACCCCACCTAAAGCATTTCTTGAAACTTACATAGCACCCTGTTTGAATTTTGTGCAGAAGCAAATCAAGGAACTGGAATCAGAGAGAAATTCCATGGTCATTGAGGAAGAGGAGAGCTTGAAGGATTATTATGATCTCTTACAGCAGCACAGGAGTTTAAAGAAGGATGTCCATGATATTATCCTCTCTCCAAAACATGTTCTGCCTTTCTTGCAACCTGGAAGGCTTGTCCGCATTGAATATAGTACAGATGAGCCAGCCAACTTTTCCATTGATGAAAATGTCACATGGGGAGTTATAATAAACTTTGAAAAAGTGAAATCCCATGGTGAAGGTACATAAGTTAAAACGATAATCTCATTTCAATCTATTCCTCTAATATGATTTTCTATTTTGTATATTTGTTTATAATAAATACAGAATGATTTACCTACAACTTGTTTGGTAATGCATTCCATGACAGGATTCATGTAGTTATACATTTTGTGGTGGATTGGGAAGGGATTCAGGCTTAAGCAGCAGATATTCCTTCTCACTGTTCACTGCTATGTTTTTCTGATAATCTAGGTTCATTCATGGTTGTCCTATGATCTGCTCATGTCCATGAGTTTTGCCAATTGTGGCATGGTTACCCTTGTCAGTTTGTCTAGGTCTCTAGCTTTGATGATGAATTGACTGGCAGCTGAGCTTCAGAGTTACACATAGGACTGAGAAACCATTCTGATCTCAATTGAGAGGGACTTTACTTATCCTGAAAAATGTACAGATATAGTTTACCTTTCTTGACAATCTGATCTAAATAGGCTTGATTTTGGTTTGTTTCGCACCAACTATTCCTGTAGCATAGCTTCATCAGCTTGAATTGCAGAATGTTTGGTGGTTTTTAGACTGTGACTGTATGTTAGGACCTCTCTTTTATGGAGTGGATTTTGTGCATCTCCAATTGTCAACCACTTGCAGCAAGTACACCTGGTTTTAATTCCTGAAACAGTCAGATTAGTGATGTTATTCATCTATGTCTTTAAAAGTCACTGTTGAAATGGAAAAGTAGCTGTTCACCTTACTTTGGTTTTGCTCTTGCAGATAGGAGACCTGAGGATTCTGATTACACGGTTGATGTCCTTACCAGATGTTCTGTAACTAAGGACAACAATGGTAAGAAAACAATGAAGGTTGTTCCTCTGAAAGCGCATGGAGAACCAGTTGTAGTTTCATTGCCACTTTCACAGGTTATTTACTTTGCACATTTCACCACTTCTGATCATTTTATCTCCTTGCTAAGCTGCCCCTTTGCTAATGATGGGATCCAACTAAATAAAACAGATTGATGGACTAAGCAGCATACGGATGTACATACCTAAGGATCTTTTGCCTGTAGAAGCTCGAGAAAACACCTTGAGGAAAGTTGAAGAAGTCCTTTCAAGGTTTGCTAAAGATGGGGTGCCTCTATTGGATCCAGAAGAAGATATGAAAGTAAGAAAATGCTTAGGCATGCTGTCAGATTTCCTCTGTTTATGTTTTTTCTAATAAAACCTATTCTTTTTAGGTACAATCGAAATCATTTCGGAAAGCTTCCAGACGAATAGAAGCTCTGGAGAGCTTGTTTGAGAAGCACGATATCCGTAACTCTCCACATATCCAGCAAAAGCTGAAAGTCTTTCATGCTAAGCAAGAACTATCAGCCAAAATAAAGTCCATAAAGAAAACAATGCGGTCTTCCACAGCTTTAGCTTTCAAGGATGAACTCAAGGCCCGGAAACGTGTTCTTCGCAGGCTGGGGTATTGCATTTTTTTTTCTGACATAAAATGATTCTTTTTCAGATCTTGCTGATGGTACCTTTAAGATGAAGTGCCCTACTTACATATATAATCCTTGATCTGCTAAAAGTATAATATTTCTGTCAACAAAATTGCTGTTGCGAATGCAATTTTTTTGTGTGTAGAAGCATATAATACATGGGCATCTGATATTTGGATGTGAAAAGACAGACACAGCACATAACTAGTAGGATGTTTTGACCAAATTAGAAGCATCTTGCAGTGTCGTGTCAAATTTGGTTTGATTTTAAATAAAATAGGAATTTTTGTCTGTTCTGTATTGAGTTCTAAAAATCTCACTGTCAATTTGAAAGATAATTTTATCATGTGTTCTTGTTTGTGTCCTCAACCAAATCTTCTGGGTAAAATTTAGGTGCATACGCTTGATGTTGCTTCTGTAAGATACCATGCTGCTGGTTTCTGTGTGAATGTGGAAAATTTTATTATGTATATCAGATAATCCTACCAAAGCTTCCAATTTCTTAAGAAGAGACATCTTTATTTCAGATATGTTACGAGTGATGATGTTGTGGAAGTGAAGGGCAAAGTGGCCTGTGAGATAAGTTCAGCTGATGAGCTTACATTGACGGAGCTTATGTTTAGTGGTGCTCTGAAGGATACTACAGTAGAGCAGATGGTGGCACTGCTTTCTTGCTTTGTTTGGCAGGAGAAGCTCCAGGATGCCCCGAAGCCAAGAGAGGAGCTTGATTTGCTCTTCTACCAGCTGCAGGAGACAGCAAGAAGGGTTGCTAACCTTCAGCTTGAATGCAAGGTAGTTAATGCTACCAAACCATCATATCAAATTGCTACCTTACGTATGAATTGGATCATGATGCTGAAACCTCGTATTTTTTTTTCTCTTGTCGATGATGACAGATCCAAATTGACGTGGAAAGTTTTGTGAATTCTTTCCGACCTGACATAATGGAAGCGGTGTATTCATGGGCCAGAGGGTCGAAGTTCTACCAAATCATGGAGATGACCCAAGTGTTTGAAGGAAGCTTGATCAGGGCCATCAGGAGGCTGGAGGAGGTTCTGCAGCAGCTGATTCTGGCATCCAAGTCTATTGGGGAAACCGAGTTAGAAGCAAAACTCGAGGAGGCAGTCAACAAGATCAAGAGGGACATAGTGTTTGCAGCATCTTTGTACTTGTAATGTCTAGATGGGTCAGGGGCTAGGTCAAAAGCTCATAGGGAATTAAGTGCTCTTAATTTGCTGCTGTTGTCAGAGTGCTGTTGGCATGATGAAGCTGCCTGATTTGCTGTTAACAGTGATGTGGCAGTGAAAGTTTTGTTAGGGTTGTTAACCGTGTAGGGTCTATTTGAAGGTCAAGAATTTTGTAGGAAGCAATACAAATCTGGCAGAAATTCAACAAACTCACAGTAACTGCCTTAGCATGTACGATAAATAGCTAATTATTTGTTAGGAATAGTCCAGGGATGCAAATCTGTACGCAGAATTACTAATGTACCGGATTGCATCATTACGTATGTATGGAGTATAACGAGTGTAAGAGATAGTGCTTGTGTTGTATTATTGTAACTGCAATTTAAAGTCGGTCGATGGCGATGACCCTGGATGGAAACTAGAATAATAATAGTTGTCTTAAATTTTTTTTTTAAAAGATAATAGTTGTCTTACTCGTTTGGATGTTATTGGCCGGCTGAGGGTCACGGGCAACCGTTTGAACGTTCTTGTCAAGATAGCATTTTTGTTTGTATATTTGGCATGGAGATGGAAAACGAACGAGGATCGCTTGGAACTGGTCAGCCAGGTCAGGTCAGTGATAGAAAGCCGGCCTGTTGCCAGTAATAAACATGACCACCTTTTTTTTCCTTTTTGGCGAATAGAACGCATGCATTCATGATAGAACAGATATGCCTAGTCGACTAGGCCTACTTCATTGAACTTCTACACTTAAACCAGAGAGCTTAAGACACATCATGCATGGGCGGCCAATGAAAGAAAACGAATTTGGGCATGACGTTTTTCCGTTTACGACAAGCTAGGCTAAGCACTAACTTAATGCAAGTGGTGAGCATATATATAATTGACAATATAATGGATGTATATTGTACACATTAGGGCAAGTGGGCAACTGAATACTCATGCATATATGTGATCTTAACTACTATATATTTACACAATAACTTTGATTTTATCTGTGTCTTATTCTGCGCAATCTATGATCTGTGCAATTTAATCGATAGCGTAGTCATCTCTTGACCACAAAATCGGCGAAACAGCGGCTGCAAGATGCATGGATGCACGAGCGAGATACATACGTCTACCTGCCGGCCGGCCCGGCTGCATACATATTGTAGAACGAATCTTGCTATGTCGTAAGTACGCAGTAGACGACACATACATATATGATTAGCTAGAGATAGAAATGGTTAGATCAAACGCAAGCCTAATATATACAGTCGTACGTGCTGTGCACACATCTAAGAAATTTGGCACTACTATGCTACTGGGAACAAACTTGATCGAGCTAGCACCAGTTAGTTATTGCATTGCATACGTATATATATGTTATATATATATTAACTTATTAAGCTAGAGTGCTGGACAACAAGTAACCTCCAAAAATCCTTGGGTATAAATACCCTCCAAAGTCTCCATGCTGATCATCAATCGCACAGCACAGCAACTCGATCGATCGATCAAAAGCTAGCCTCATCACTAGCTAGCTCGTAGCAACAACAATGGCGAGGCGTTCCACCAGTTCTTCCAGCAGCAGCGTGGCCGCCACCGCGGTACCGCCGGTGGTGCTGTGCGCCTTGCTGCTAATAATTCTGTCGTCGGGCGTGGCGCCGGCGGCGGCGTGCGGCGGTCACCCGTGCCCGATCCCGGACGGCAAGTGCCCGGTGAACGCGGTGAAGCTGGGCGTGTGCGCCGACGTGCTGGACGGGCTGATCCACGCGGTGGTGGGCGGCCCGCCCAAGGAGCCCTGCTGCTCCCTCATCTCCGGCCTGGTCGACCTGGACGCCGCCGTCTGCGTCTGCCTCGCCATCAACGCCAACGTCCTCGGCGTCAACCTCGACGTCGCCGTCGACCTCTCCCTCCTCGTCAACTACTGCGGCCGCCGTGTGCCAGCCGGATTCAAATGCGCCTAGTAGTACTAGGCCGGCCGCGCGCCTTTAATTTGTTGCTGGCCAGCTGGTGCATGCATGCATGCACGTACTTTCAGCTGCCTACCGATCGACTTAATAATTCATCACTGTGTCTGTGTGTGTACGTGCTGCAAGTCGGTACCTAGTATGTACGTCGTTATATATGTATATGTACACGTCGTCATGTAACGTATTATGTGGTTTGTGTATGCTCTCAGTGTACGTACGTGTTTTTATTATTACTAGCAAATATACTCGTGCTGTGCAATAGAACGTCGTACAACTTTGCGTGTTTACTTATTAGACGATCTGTGGATTGAAGATTATTCAATGTTCGCGTTATCTGTTTCAGTAAGTCTTAGAAGCAGATTTAGGTTCGTACCATCATCGCTGGACGCCCGTTATTTTAATATAACTTGTGTGAGGATGGGTCATGAGTACGTATATAACAGAGAGCACTATGATCGAGGGCATTGTGAAAAGTAAAAGAAAAAAGATAGCTGGAAGAATCTCTTATGTCTTTAATATTAGCTACCAAATATGCTCGTCTCTCACAACGAAACTAATTAAGGACAACTTAACTTATTGCACGACCACCTTAATGACTAGCTTGCATGCGGCGTGTAGATATATATACAATAGTTGCATCATCTACGTCAATATTTGTTAGAATGGGGACCTCGAGGATCTCCCTCCCGTTTTATTCTCACCATGCACTCAGCCGGCCTCTTTACCTAATGATCGTCATCGATGAATGCTGAAGAGCAGACATGGGACTGACGGGAAGTACTCCTTGGCCGACCATGCATGATGAAGAACAGCCAGGGGCGTTGGAATTGACTAGAGATTTAAGAAAAACATAGACTCCCTCGTCTTAAAATAAGTGCACTTTTAGGTATGTAGCGGGCTTTTTTACTTTCTTTACTTTCAAAGTGCAATCATCATATGTTGAGATAGCTTTTGATATGGACAAATATGTAATTTTTAAGTAAAATTGATCTTCTCCAAGAATCCTTAGAAGTGCATTTTTTTTTGAGATGGCGGGATCGGAGTAGGTTAACCATCACTGGGATAGATAGGCCGGTCTATTGTGGTGTGCTGGGCCTCAGCGGGCTAGGTGGGTAGACACAATCGTCTGCTTATGTCATGGGCCCTTGCAACCCTGGGTGCCAAGCATGTGCTCGATTGTGGTGGCGGCAGTGGAGGCCGCTGGTTGATCCTCGGAGGAGTGTTGGCCCACAGGATCATCGGCTCAGGTGAGTGAACCACTCATCAGTCTTGCTGAGCACCCGTTAGTGTTGCCGAGCACCCACTAGCCGTGCCGACCACGAACGAGCGTTGTCCGTCCCCATGCACTATGGCTAGAGCTTGAAGAAGAAGGGAGAAAAGAGTATACACACACAGTACAAGATACCAGCGTTGGCCGAAGCCCTGTCTGGGAGATGGCAAATCTGAACTCTCTTTACTGAGTTGTCGTGGTAGTCTATTTATACAACTCTATCCATCTAGTCCTAGTACAGCGCACATGCTACAACAGTAACTAGATAACACAGCAGGGCTGACTCTTCATCGGCCTCTGCATGTGGCTACAGTGCTGCAGGTGAGCCGTGCGGCGCCTGCACCTGCAGCGGCTACAATATCACAGCAAGGGGCCTTTCGGCGCCGCCTTCCCTTGCTGTGTTCACACAAGGTAGTAGTAGATTATCTAACAATCTTCCCCTAATCCTACTGCTAACCCTTGTACCCTCTCCATGCCGATCATCTCCTTCAGCTCCGTGAGTCGAGGACATCCGCGAGTTGCCGACCAGTTACGACGAACTCGATGACGATTTCCCTCCATCGACACAGTCCCTGAGGAAGTGGAACTTCACGTCGATGTGGTTGCTCCGGTCATGCAGAACCGGATTCTTCGCGAGGGCGATGGCGGGCTGGTTGTCCACCATCAGTGCTGGTGGGTGAGCTTCCACGCCGGTCAGCTCGCCCAGCAGCTGACACAGCCACACAACTTGGCACGCCGCTGTGCCCGCCGCTACATACTCTGCCTCGCACGTAGATAGCGCCACCACCTTCTCTTTCAGCGATAGCCATGAAATTGGGGCCGACCCGAGGAAGACGAGCGCGCCAGAGGTGCTCCGTCGTCCGTCGATGTCCCCCGCCATGTCTGCATCACTGAACACAGTGAGCTGCAGCCTACTCCCGTGCGGTCTTGGGAAAGATGATCCCCTGATCCCCTGTCCCTTTGATGTAGCGCAGTAGCCGCTTCACCATAGCCCAGTGATCCTCTCTGGGATCCTCCATGAAGTGACTGACGTAGCCCACTACGATGCTCCGGTAGAGTGTTGCATCCACCTTCGCCACGGTGCTGGCCTTCATCAGCTTCAGCCGCTCCTCCATCGGAGTCACGCATGGCTTGCACTCAGTCATGCCACTCCTCTCCAACAGCTTGGAGGCATACGCGCTCTGATCGAGCGTGAGTTCCTCCTTCCCCTGTCTCACCTCGATGCCGAGGTAGTAGGAGAGTGCGCCGAGATCGCTCATTCAAAAACGAGCCGCCATCTCACGCTTGAAGCTGTTGATGTCCTCCGTACGTGCGTCGGTGACGATCAAGTCATCCACATACACGCCGACGATGAACTCCTCCTTCCCATCACCGTGTGTAGAGTGCGTGCTCGGTTGCGCACCGTTGAAACCCAAGCTCGCCCGGCGTGGCGTCAAGCTTGGCGCCCATGCTCGTGGGGCTGTGGAAAGCTCTAGTTTGATTTTGGTGAATTGATGAAACCCTAAGTGCTAACCTAGTTTATCAAGTGATCATGATATAAGTAGCACACTCCAAGTGGTGACGCAAATGAAGATCATTGCATGATGAAGACGATGCTATGGTGATGATTAAGTGCTCGGATTTGGAAAAGAAGAAAGAGAAAAACAAAAAGCTCAAGGCAAAGGTATAAACCATAGGAGCTATTTTGTTTTGGTGATCAAGACACTTAGTGAGTGTGATCACATTTAGTATCGATAGCCGTACTATTAAGAGGGGTGAAA